GGGGGGGGGGGGGGGGGGGGGGGGGGGGGGCTCGACTTCTAACTCTCCTTTCTTCCCAGCGCTCTCGTTTGTGACCTATTAAAAAGTCACTTTTTGACCGCTTTCTCTTTACGACTGCATTTTCAGAGGAACTGCAATCCTTGTTTAAGTACTGAATGAGCTGCTGTTTGCTTTTGAGCAACTTAGAAAAAGAGAAATATCAGCTTGTAAAACCCTTGAGGTTAACCTACCTTTTCTGATGATAGCTGTAGACTCGGTGAAATTTGGGTTTGGTGAATTTTGTGTGACGATCTTCATTTGATGGGCATGTGTTTGTCACTAGGTCACTCGGTATACTCACGTGATGGGGGACTGTGTTCCTGAGAGCTTGCTTCCGAGTCTATCGGACTTTTTAAATCAGGTTGGTTTTCTTGTTTCGTTTTTTGCCGGCTAAGTTAAGATCACCAAAATCTAATGTAGTTTCGTTGTATTTACAACCAAAGCATCAATCTCAATCATTTTCAAATGTCGTATCTATTACCGTGTGGATGGTGCTGACAAAAGTCCAATATAATCTTGTAACAGAAATATCCTAGTTGTACCCTAGTACCCTTGTTTGCTTCCATCCCAGCGATAAGCCTTTCCCCTGCCTCGCCAACCCTCTTCTCTTTACAGATAGTTGTACGCAGACGAATGTAAGGGATGGGGCGAAGAGAACTTTCCTCTTTTGCTGAAATAATTTAACGTCAAAGGGCCTGAAAACAATTGTTCTTCTCTCCTTTTCAGGGAAGACAAAATTCACTGTACATTGCTACACTCCTCAAGTTGATAGGGAAAATCCTTAGGGAAATATAAAGCTCGAAACGTCTTCAGCTGATGATCTAAAACAGCGGTTAATTCATCTGTGATCTAGCTAGTGCAAGTTGATTTGAGTCTTTTTCTCACCAATTAATGCGGTGTCCTTTCACTGGTTAAGGAAGAAAGATGTTATTTAAAAAGTCTCAGTGGCGTGTTGACGTGAAACCTAGCGGATGGCAACGAATAGACTCTAGGAGATCTCATGGAGTTGGCCTTTGTTATTTTTCAGCTTCCCTTTAAGCACACGGAGTTCACTGGAAATATGACTGTATCCTTAATCCAATGAATAAATGCAGTAAGCAAATGTTGTAGATGGGCATGAAGGTGCTCTCTCTCCCAGTCGTTATTGGAGTCGTCACGCAGAATGTAGCGTTGCGTGACAACTTAACCCAAACAACGGTAGTGAGGGAAACATCCCAACGTGACAGGTTGAGAGGTTGATATAGTCAGAGGTGGATTTCTCAAACAACCACTCCGATCAAAAATGTCTTTCCTTTGGTGATTTTCTTTAACAAAGGTAATTAGGAGCAGGATAAAGAGTTCCTTAAACACCAGTTGGAGGCAGAGGTAGAAAGGAAAAGCAAGCGCTTAGATCCCAGCGACTTAGAAAAGAAAGAGATTCCACGTATGGACACAAGTGGTCGGCCACGTGATGCAAGTGCAGGCCAAAGCGTAGAGGTGAGGAAATTGGGCCAAAAATGAAGATATTTAATTTATTTAATTTGTAATCCAGGGCTCGTACGGGTCTTGGAAAACCTGGAAAGTCATGGGATTTTATAATTCCGCTGATTTTCCAGGCCTGGAAAGTCATGAAATTGAAGTGTGGGTCATGGAAAGTCATCGAAAAGCAATATACTTTCCGAGAAAAAAGGTAAAAAGATCAAAAGTTGAAATAATAACAGAGGAGTCAGAAACCCGGTTTTAATTCCAGTAAAAAATAATTACTAGCATGCATTCTATGCGTCATAATGTGAGAAAATACCTTAAATAATAGATTGTTTTGACAATACTTTGAAAACAACTGCTAAACATAGGTCTTGGAAAATTACATAACAACTCAGAAACGTCGTGGAAAAGGTCGCGGAAAGTCATGGAATTTTAATAGCTCAAAAGAGTACGAGCCATGTAATCGTATTAGTTCGTACGTATTATCAATATTTTAGCTTATTTTAGCCAAATTTTGTCACTCCATATTCATTTTATTTAAATATTTCTTTTCTTGTGATATACCTGTAAACTAGCTGGTGAACTATTGTAGTGCACCACCATACTTAAGCGTATATTCACATTAAATCAGTATTGTATTGTATTCTGTTCGTTTCCCCCGCAAGTTTGCTTTCTACCTCGCGTCACCTTACGAACTACGATTGCGCGCCATGTTTTGCGTTGTGTGCGTGAACTAGAAAGGAGCTTGGCTATGAGATCGTGTTGCGTTGTTTAGTAATTCACGATCAAGAAACACTTTCAAAAGACGAGGCACTTGCGTCAACGGATCCTGAACTTGTGATTGGTCGTTTCCCTGATGTGGCGACTGATGGAACTTTCTCTATTGCAGCCTGAACCAAAGCGCTTAAAACGACATCGGGATTTGTCATGTGAAGACCAGGTAAGAGCTGAGATATTCCCCCGGGATACTTCGAACTATTTCAGTGTCCCTTCGGGTTCACATTTGTGTTACAAGTATCTTTTTGGGCTCAGATAACTGATATTTGGAAGAGATTATCTGGTTTCACTAGCTCTGTAATTACCTCCAAACCACGTTTACAAATCTTAATACCGTTAAATCAAGTCTCTTCAACAACCTTGCTTGGTTGGTCAGGTTTTCCAGGGAAACAAGCCGTAATTTTTAGGATATACAGTTCAATTTGTTTCAAGAGCTGTGTGAGTCGCAGTTGTAGCATGATTTTTTTTTACTGCACTAACCCTCTATCCTACTCTATATCGAAAGATTGCAAAATTCCAGTGAGACAAATACATAGAATTTTCCGGTGGGAAAAATCGAAAGTCGAACACCCCCTGAAAATTACATCCAGATAGCTTTTGCTGGGATTCCACACTTAGGAATTTCTTCGGCAGCCTCAAAAGGCTTAATTCCCTATGATGGAGGGGATTGACGTGACTAACTTGTCTTGTTACTTATTTTTCTCTCAGGGAGACGAACTTTACACGGAAGCCATAACAAATATGAGGATTCCTCTTACAACAATCCTTGATCTCAGAAAGCAGTTCGTACCTTCGACAAAGATCGTGAAACAAGTGGAAGAAATACAAACATTACTACAAGATTTCCTCTCTAAAAGCACTGGGTGATACAACTGCGCACAAAATGGCCCTGTATATTTGTACACCAGGAATCAAATGTATATTATGTTTCACTTTAATAAGGCGTTACTGCGTATTTTCATTATACTTGTACATAAGTGTTGACCCACTTGCACTCTCTGCTTTTGGTATGAACTTTTGTTGTCCATTTGCAATAGTGTATGGTGTATTTGTAACTTGCTGAAATACTGTCTTGAATTTTTAACGTGTATAGTGTAGAAAACCCAGTTGTGTTTTGCTTTTATTTTAGACGACAAATTGTCAACAAAAATTGTTTCTCCTCAAGGTCTCAAAGGTCGCAGTTGAGGTGCTTTCTTTTGTATAATCATTGTAGTCATCAGCACATCCAGAAACGCCGTACAAGCATAAATTTGAAATTGAAAATTGAAAATTAAAGTAATGCGAGTTATATTACTCTTCTTGAAACTGAGTGGACTTTAAGATTTCCTACACAACCCAAAGGGCTTCTTTGCTTTCACATTGGAAAACAGGTAATAATAGGAGCCCCAGAAGTGGTAAATATCTAACTTCTCCCTACCTTTTATAAGCAAATTAGGTAGGTAGGTCTTGGGAATTTATGTCCTGATCATCTGGGGAAAAGTCGATTTAAAATTTGGTCTTGCCAAGTAAAATGTGTGGAAACAAGTTAAGAGAATTTATCTTCTGAACATGTTACTTCTACGTTGTTAAGGGCCTTTGAATCAGGACGTATTTCGTACTGTTCAGCGTTAGCCCTCTCTGTTTTGCCTCGTGCATGCTAGGGGTTCCTCTGATCGGTTGCGTTTTGGTCGTGTGTTCTGTTAAGGGTTTTACACATTATGCCGGCATTATTTTGAGCCCAGTAGTGAGGCAAAAGAAGCGAGAACTATGCCGGATTAACAATTAGAGAAACTGGTCGATTCTAAGCCTTGGGTAGGCCAACAGCAATCTGTCACGATCTTGTAGCTTTGTGCTTCACCATGCAAGAAGGTTTTGCTAATGCAATTCCCTTCTGCCGCACCTGAAAGAGTTTTTTCATCACTAGAAAATTATTTACGTAAGTCTACAGTAGAGCAAGGTAGAGCAATGGAAAATTACATTGAGTCGCTCACGTTTATATTTTATGTGAGCACAATGGTGCATGATAATAGTGACGCTTTTTGAGCATAATAGTGATACTCTTTGAGCATCGAGCATTAGCATAATAGTGAAAAATGTCAGCATAATGTGTAAAACCCTAGCGGTGTTCTATGCTGGCTGTTTTCTGGCTCTTTGCCGACGCAATGCAATGAAGCACCCGGAAGGCACTCGCAGCAGAGTCTTGAACAGCCCCCTCCCTTCTCCCCTCTTCTAAACAACTTGGAATCTCGTTCCCATGGTCCTGCTGTGACGTCAGTCTGCTATCATGAATTACGTGATGAACTGAACTCCTGCACGTACATTCCTGGTTTGTCGGCTTGTTTTAAGTTTAACTCTTTCTCGAAATTTACCTCCATTAGAGACTCCTGCAATGATGATGATACTTTTATTACTAGTCTGCACAAGATAGGGCCTGTTTTGAATTTAAATAACTGTTCCTCGACGTTAATAACAGACAAAATATTTTATCGTGGATATTATAAAAAAAAAAATGTCTGTTTGTACCCCTGGGCGAGACACCCTCTAGCTTAAAAAAATCCGCCAGCGTTACGGTTTTCACCGCTTAAGAAATCATTCAAACCATCCAGTTAGTTACTCTCCTTACTTTGTACATCTTCCCAATAGAACAAATGTTTCCAAATGTGAATTCATAGAAAAATGCAAAACCTGTAAAAGCTTTGTAATCGATGTCAGCTTATTAATTTCTCTTTTTAAGAGTGCATAATGAACGGCACTTTTTGAAATCTGACTATGATATGTAAACAGTGTCTAAAAATATTTAATAGATTCTTGTTCATATATCTGTATACCGTATCTCGCTTGCATGGCGTATTTTAGCACTTTAATCTGGACATCTACTGCTCAATAAATCCTTTATTATTGCTTGTATTTATGGTGTGGATGTGTATAAATGAAACTACCCTTAGCTGTTATTAACACCACGAGAGCCTTGCTTTCCAATACTACATTCTTCAAATAAAATGTTTGTACGGAAAGGAAATAAAAACATTTTGACACTTTGCTCGGATAAACAAGCCCTTAACAGCTGGGAATTTCATATATTTATTTCAAGTTATCTTCTTATCATTCATACCTTGTATTTTTTCTTGCCAGCTTCTACTGATTACAAAATTACTCTCGCTTTGAAGATTTTTAGTAATTATTCCTGGAGTCACTTCAGCGTAAAATTCCTATGGGACGTAAGATTCGTCATTCGTTTTATCTTGAGGTCTTTTCAAAGCGTCGTCTTTGCGGTGTTAAGGTGCAGTTGTCAAGGACATCCACTGAAACCTTGACAACTGCTAATATGACTTTCAAAATAAGAATGCCAAGTGGCAGGTTTGATGGTTGTGAAAGTTTTTTGCGAACTGAAAGTCATTTCAGGTTTTGAATAATTGATGGTACGCCCCACGGATTGTTTGTCATTTTGTTTTTCAGTTTAGTGCTGAAAGCATTGTTTGCCACTTACAAAAACACGATTCCTGAGTTAAAAACACTCGGCGCGGACCGTATAAGTGCTTTCTCAGTTTCGTGCTTAGCTGATCGCGAGTTTGTCACCTCGCAATACCTCGTTTTAATATTTTCAAGTCCAATTCTTAATGATTACAATTGGGTGGATGCTGACAAAGGATTAGAAATTATCCGCTCACTTTCGCATAAATCAGATAAGTTATACACAATAGCCTTTCCAACAAAAACTTTAAAAACTCGACCTGTTTTGCATACAAAACAGTCTTACCATTCTCGCCAAAATGCTTTTCCTCTTGAACTAATGTTGTGTCATCATCTCGACGTTTCGTTTATGATACGTCTGGCTAAAACCGCTACGGCATTTATCGCTGCCAACTGATTGCCAAATATTAATTTTTCAGTAACTCGGGTGTGACTCTGTTGCGGTTGTCGATCGGCATCGCCACACGAAAATATTTTAATAAAGGATTTTAATCGAAAAACTTCTTTACCCCTACTGGTTGGAAGGCCATGTTTTATCAAAATAAAGCGTTTGTTGTCGCCGTCGTAATTTGCTGTTTTCACAAAACTGTCGTAACTGCGCCTCGTTATGTAAAAATGTGAAAAGTGGCCGTGTACAATGCTAAATCGAGCATGCGTTTTTCGATATTAGCATCAACAACTCCTATTTACATGTACTTTCAGTCAAATGACATTGTTGGAGTTAAGTTTCAGGAACTTCCCTAATGAACACAGTACTCGAGTGCACGCTTCCTTTCAACGCATTTCACTCATTTCGCTTTTAAATTTCTTCAGACGAAATCGTACACAAATAAATCCGTGATGTTTTTAAAAGCGGATTTTTACGTTGAAGTTTCACGAAGAAAAATGGCGCGGGTTTCCTTTTGTACACAGTGAGGGCGTTAGAAAGGATTTTCATCGGTACGTCTTCCGCGCTAAGAGACATTTCCCGACTCCATAAATTATATCTTTAGGTTTTTGTTTTGGGAGCTGAAGAAGCAGATAGGACGCGGCGTAATGACCGCTTTGTTGTCACGTGACTCCACACCACCTGCTTATCGACCGCGGCAGAATTTCATGAATTGAATATGTTGAATTTCGAGTGAGACAGTCTGAAATTTCTGAATTCGGATCGAGTAATTTTCGCCGTCCATATGCCGGTCCGAAATGGAAAAAAGCGGTGAGTTGGGCTATGATGGAAGTATTCTTATTGTAATTGTTCTCCCTTCGCTCTGTGATCGGTGTCAGTTCTGGCTTGGCTGGCTCACGCGCGAGTCTGGAAAATCGAATTGAAGACTACAGAAGCTTAACAACACTTCATAGGGAACTATGTTGGCATTTGATACCGATTCGGAGTCAAACACTCAGTTTACGAGTGAGATTTTTGTCGTTTGAAAGCTCTGTTCGAAGGATCGTCGAGGAGGCTTTCAATTTTTAGTCAGGGTCAGCTTTAGTCGAGCAAATTTGACTGAGCGGTGAATGAGGAAAGTAACCGCCATGGGAGTTCACGATTTTTCTGTAGTTTGTCATTCTGTCAGTTTTCAGGCGTTCCGTAGAGCGCTGGTCAATAACCTCGCATGAGCTAACGCCCCATGTTCGTTTTATTCTCAGACTTGCAGCGCTTTCGCAATGAATGCGTAGCTGCCCACAACTTCTATCGCGCAGCCCATGGAACACCGCCTCTGTGCTGGTCATCTAGACTCGCGGAGAGCGCGCAGAGTTGGGCACAGCATCTCGCAAGTACCGGCTCACCCAGATACAGCTCCGAGAAGGACATCGGCGAGAACTTCGTCTGCTTGTGGGGCTCAGAACTAAACGGACAGAAGGTGACTCGAATATGGTACGAAGAGGGAAAGTATTTTGATCATAACAAGCCGCGTGTTAGCTCGCGAACGCGCTCTTTCTGTCAGGTGGTATGGGAGGGTACGCGCGAGGTTGGCGCGGGAGCGGCTGTCACCAAATACGGAAAACAGATCGTGGTGGCACGGTATTTTCCCCCAATGAACAAAAAAGATGTGGCGAGAAACGTGAAGAAAGCAAGAAGCACGCAAGATAACGAACAGCCACTGGCGTATGATACACGCTGGAGCAGACTCTATCTTGGTAAGAAAATGGCATTATTTTTTCGCTCTCGTATGGCGACCGCTGTGCTTTAGATTTTTCATTTGCATTTTGTTCACAAGTTAGCCTGCCTGAAATAAATAAAACAATTCGAGAACGTTAATTCATTCGATTGATGTAGAAGTGAAAAATTGAAACACGTTTAATATCTTAATAATATTGAATTTTCTCGATTTTCCTTGTCATTACGGTCTCCAAGCCATTAGACATGAGCGCAATATTTAGGGAATATATTTTCTATCGACGTTCGCATGCTATTAACATGTACGACACTGAAATTCATTGTCGACAAGAAGGGAAAAAAAATCATGCGATTTTCGTTGTTTGCTCGGGTACTCACACGTCAATTTAAAAGCGCGTCTCGGATACAGATTGTCGCAACAAACTATTTCTACGTATATTCAATCAAAACTCAGCCTCGGGGAGGATCTTTATGTTATGAAAATGAATGAAAACTGCACACACCGTTGATCAATTCGTTAATTTTAACAACAACAACGTGGTCGGTCGACGTTCTCGAGAAATAGGCAATCGACGAACATTCTAAAGCAACGATTGAGCACGCGACTCCGCCGATGTAATAACTCTTCAGTCAGTTTGTAGAGTGTTGCAAATATTTGACTTTGCTTGGGCATTGCGCCGGATTCAGCGGAAGTTGTCTCGCTTTGTTTTGGTTTACTAGGTTTGTCCACTAAGATTTTGAATCGATTTGCATTAAAACAAAAATATGTCACTTTCATGATCTTTAAAGTACTGATGTTTTATTCAAAGCGGTTTAGCGAAAAACTTTTTTCGATGGATTCTCCTTTTATTGGATAAAGATTTGCACCGGTTTAGTTAACAATGAATGAGGGAAAAACGAATCTTTATTATCCATCGAGTTGTTTTGACCAATTTCTTAATAGGTTCTAAAGTGGTGAAATTTGCATTTAATTCCAGAATTCCTCTTTAGGTCAGTAACTTGTAATTCTTCAACTATATCGAGGAAACTTTAGGACTTTCCGATTATATCTTCGTTGTTGTTGTTGTTTTTTTTGTCATTTTGAATCTCCTCTTTAGCTTTTTCTTTTCTGTTCTTTGTTTTCGTTTTTGTTGTACGGGAGGTTGATTAAGGGAACTGAGGTAAACCTATTGTCGTTATTGATCACCTGTTGCATCTAGAAAAGAAAAAGCTGGTTTTCGTCTTCTTCGGAATGAGTCGATGGATCAAATAATAAGAAACCAACTAAGAGATTCCTTGTGAGCCTTTGCGAATGCTTCAGACAATTTTTCGAACTTCCTCGAATTGAAATTTATTTGTTTTGCATATGTTATGAACGAATTATTTTCCATCCACCAGTTGAACGATTGTTGACCGTCAAAACAACTCAAGCTAATTTATTTGAGTTTTGTGGAAATTTGGTTGGTTTCGCAACGATTAGAACTCTGGTTAATTTCCACAGAGTGGCAGTGACGCTTTCATCTCACTGAAAATTGTCTGTGAATTTTAAAAATGTTCGTTTTATAATACAGATTTTAAGTGTTTGAGG